AGTTTCCAATGTATCAATATCTGACTATATAACTCATTGTAATTCCCATGGTTGTTTCTTCACTTGGCAACATTGGCACTGAAGACAAAACATTTCAATATTTTCTGACTTAGGCTAGCAGGAAAATAAATTGAATTCTATAGAAACGTAAACCACTTAGAAGAATTCACTGATGGTGTGCACTTTCAGTGTCACATAATTTAGATAACAGTTTATTACCTCTCCACATGCACTACTCTCAGAAGATATAATTAGTCAGGTATGGTAGCATGTGTCTGTGTTTCCAGCTCCTGCAGAGGCTGGGTGGGAGGATCACTGTCTTTTCACTGTATATTCATACGGCAGTATGTGCAAATGAGCTCCCCTGTGCCTTCTTTCTAAAGTCACTAATCCCCCATTCATAAGGGCCCTACCCTTATGACCTAATAGCCTCCACAACAGCCATGCTTGCTAATACTATTGTCTTGGGAGTTAGGATTTCAACTTATAACATTTGGGGACACACAGACATTTAGATCGTGGCATCTCCCATTATTTTCTCTCATATATTTATCTTCCGACAATTTGCTGCCCCTAGAAGCCCAAACCCCTTTTCTTTTGTCTTACCACTTCTCCAGAAATTTGTCACTCTTTGTTAAGATGGTATATAAGCTCCCAAATCAAACCACTTCTTCGAGTTATTCACCACTGAGTTCTCTCGTGCATATGCATGTTGTGTGCATGAATAAACTCTGTCTTCTGCCTTGTGCTAATCTGTCTTTTGTCAGTCTAATTTGTAGGCCCTATCTGTTGAATATAAGAGGATAGAGGAAAAAAGTTCTTTTGTCCTTCCCATACATGTATAAATATAATAATAGAACATTATTATTAATGATTATGTCTCAGACAATTTTTTTTTTGTTTTTTGAGACAGAGTCTCACTCTGTCGCCAGGCTGGAGTGCAGTGGTGTGATCTCGGCTCACTGCAAGCTCTGCCTCCCGGGTTCATGCCATTCTCCTGCCTCAGCCTCCCGAGTAACTGGGACAGGTGCCTGCCAATGCACCTGGCTAATTTTTTGGTATTTTTAGTAGAGTCGGGGTTTCACCATGTTAGTGAGAATGGTCTTGATCTCTTGACCTCGTGATCCACCCACCTCAGCCTCCCAAAGTGCTGGGATTACAGGTGTGAGCCACTGTGCCTGGTCTCATACAATTCTTATGTACTCATTAGATACAGTGTTTTTTTTTTTTTTTTTCCCCACAACTATTATATTTAACCAGAGCTTTTCACATATATTTAATTTGTAGCATATGGGGAGAAATTTGGAGGATAAAACACAGTTTTAATTGCCAATTTTATACTACAGAGGGAGTTTTAAAAATTGTAAAAGAAAATCACTTTAATGATGTTTTATTGTTTAAAGAAGTAGATGATTATTCTGAAAATGATTACCTGGATACTATCACAAGAAATTAATATTCAATATTGACTTTTTAATGCTTGAGTCCTTAAACATATGTTAAAAACTAAAACTTACAGGTAAATTTCTTCTGATGTGTCTGCACAAATACCTCTTGTTGAATCGAAACACTTAATTAATGTAAAAATTTTCCTGTTGTGGATTCTTTCTCACAGTTTCCCAATATTTTTCTTCTTGATCATCCTGATTTCTTTCTACTATTTTTCTTTGTCACTAAAGAACATAAATATTTTCTTTTAGGCAGCAAATCAAACAGTGAATTTCTACCAACTATGGATTATTAATTAGGCTTAGATATTATATTGTTTCTCTGTTATTCTTTTCTAATATGCAAAAAAGTGCAGAAATTGAGGATATTTTGTGTACCAGAAGGAAGCTAGGTATTCAAAGTCTCCCTCTTCCATGATTTGCAAATTTAGGCATGCCATGTAACTTCTCTCTGTTGCATTTATTTCATTCAAAAGAAAATATTTTTATATATCTCAGCTAAAAATAAGGAGATATATGCCATTATATCTTTTTAACACTTACCAAAGACACAGGAGTAAAAGTCACAATTTTATTAGACTACTGACCATTTGTAACTGATCACAGTAGCTCATGGATGTGGACTTGCTACCTATTTTGTACATATGTAATTATATATTTAGTTTTCCCCTCCCATATTCAGCGTTAATAAAGCACAAATTTAAAATATTAATTGTAGGCTGGGTGTGGTGGCTCACACCTATAATCCCAGCACTTTTGGAGCCCAAGGCAGGCGGATCACCTGAGGTTAGGAGTTCAAGACCAGTCTGGCCAATATGGTAAAACACTGTCTCTACTAAAAATACAAAAATTAGCTGGGTGTCATGGTGCACACCTGTAATCCCAGTTACTCAGGTGGCTGAGGCAGGAGAATGGCTTGAGCCCAGCAGGTGTAGGTTGCATTCCAGCCTGGGCAACAGAGCCAACACTTTGTCTCAAAAAACAACAACAACAACAACAACAACAAAACATTCATTCATACAAGAAAATATTAATATAAAATACAAACATCATATTATAGGGTTACCTCAGTGGTTAGTTGTTCTCTCATTTTAATTTTAAATAAGATGATCTACCTTCATCTTCAAACTAAAATAAGGCTTAAACTTATGCCTCTTCATTTATCAGTTCTAAAATACAGTTCTTCAGATAACCTTTAAAGGACAGGATATTAAGAAGATTAAAGAGATGTTTAATAAAATTTCTCCCTAACTTTGGGAATTTTAAATCTCTCATTTTAAATACTGACAATACCTCACTATCTATGCCCTGAGATTGTGTCTCTCCAGCATCCTATCTTATCTTTTCAGGGTGCATTTCAAAAACCATAATAATTTTCCCTAGCCAAGCTTAAAACCAGGCACCTCAAAAGTTGATAAGCAACCTCCCCCTACCCTACTTTATTCCTTCTTGGCTCCTTCCCCTTGACAGCTGTCACATATTCATTGGTTAAAGTATAATTATCAAACTAATTCCATGGATTCTTTTTCTGCCTGTGTTTCTTGTGTCTTAGGCTGGGACAGCCCTTGGGTCTGTGAGAGATTCAGATTTTATCTCTATTTCTATCATGGCCTGCAGTAGACTTTGGTGATTTAAGTTAGAATATTTCCAGTCAGACTTTTATAAATTTTTACTTATAACAAGCCAGACTGATGATTTTCATAAGACACGCTTCAGTGCCCAACCGTATGACTGCAAGGTACAGGACAGATTTCAGAGAAACTCCTTTAGCTTTCTAAATGATGTGACTTCATTTCTTTCTCAGGACACACCAAAAGTAATCTTCCATTTTGTTTTAGTTGCTTTCCAGCAACCCTACAGTTTAATTAATTTCTCACATAGCTTTAAAATGTGACAAAGTCTAATCATTCCCAATTGTCTGTGCTGCCTCAGGGGGTGCAGCAGGGATTAAAGGAAAATAGTCATGGGTGATGTCCTTCTCTACTGCTCTCTCTCACCTCAGCCACCCCCCACTTATATTCTGTTGATTTAGAGTAATAAAGATTTTCGCCCACAGTGTGTGGTCGTCGTCTTCTTCCTCTTCCTCTTCCTCTTCCTCTTCTTCTTCTTCTTCTGTTTTTTGGAAGGGGAGGAGATCCTCAGCAGGGAGAAATGTTTTATGGCTAATTCTACTAGGTAAAAAGATTCAATCCCTCCCTCTCCTCTGAGGGCAAATGAAAAGGTGTAATCTAAATAACCACTTATTAATTTTATCATTGAGATAAGAAGATGAAAGATAAGATAATGATAATAATTTCTCCCTTTTCAAGCTATATTTATATTTCCTTTGGATTAATCTGTAAATTCAATCATTTTGTTTTACAAAAGGAAGGAATGCTAATATTAGGTAGCACTCAGTATCCTAAAGTTCTTAATTGGTTACAATTGGAATAAATTGACCTTAACATTTCATATGTCATAGAAATAAAAGTAAAATACTATAATTGTGTCCCAAAACCTGCAGCATCTCTATAAATGAAGAAGATGTGGTTTAATAGAATCCTACATGAAGATGAGTTAGGTTTCCTTGATTGTAATTAACAATGTGATATGTACATCTAAGAGGCTAATGTGACCTTATGCTGCCATTAGTGGCAGTAGAGTGCCCAGAAGAAATGATGTGATAGTTTAACAGCTTTGGACTTCTAAGGAATTCTGCCTCATTCTGAAGACATGTTCTTTCCAACTGATTATAATGTTGAGATGACTTTTTTTCCTACTTTTATTTTGGGTTCAGAAGGTACATGTGCTGGTTTGTTACATGGCTCAATTGAGTGTTGTTGAGGTTTGGTGCATTAATGATTCCGTCACCAAGGTAGGCGAGCATAGTACCCAATAGGTAGCATTCCAACCCACACACCCATCTCACCTTCCCCCACTCAAGCAGCCTCCAGTGTCTCTTGTTCCCATTAAGATGACTTTAAATAAAATGATAATCAAATATATTTTTAAAATTTAAAATATGAAAAACATATTTATGAGACTGGATGGGATACAAAGAATATTATAGTTTATTTACTTGAAGAACAGTTTAATGAGAGGTGATATGTTTATTCTTATCTTGCTATCACGCTTTCCTCATGCCGACATGTTAAGTTCAATTCATGTTTATTGAGTGTCTACCATATTCCTGGCAACATGATGGGATTGAGAACTAGAAATAGATCCCGGTTTTGGTTGTTGTCATTTGCTGTTATATGACCCTGGGAAAGTATTTTACTTTTTTGTATTTCATGCTTCTGAGCTGCAGTATTCTCAACTGTAATATGGGCATGATATTACCTTTTTCAAAAGGTGGTCAAGCATTAAATTAGGTAATGTATGGAATGTAACAGAGTTCAGCTCATACAAGCTCCAGATATGTATTTCTGAGTATTGTTCATTTCATATTAGTATTCAATGTATTTAGCAGGTTCCCAGTGGAATGAACTAAGACCAAAGGGTAAAAATTGCTGACATATTTCTTTTTTTATGGAGATTTTTTTTCTTTATTGAGAAATGTTAAGACTTGGGTACACGAAATAAACCAATTTATTGGAGGACAAATCAAAACCCACAATAGAAAAAAAAGTTAACACTGGGCCACAGCAGAACCCTGAGACCATATTTGTATAATTGAAAAATTCTAGGCACTTCATAATTGACGTTTTGATACAAAATTACCTATTAAATTTGCAATTTGTAGTTCTTGGTGTTGAGGTCCATAGGACAAGCTAGGAAGTCTTCAAACCTTGAGCTGAACTTCATGAGGGGTTAATTGGCTTTTGAATCGATTTTTCCTTGTCTAACAGGTAGCAGCAGCAACAGCGCCCACCTTCTGGGCAGCTTCTTTCTTGGCATGATGAGCCTGTAGAACTGCTACCGCTTCATCCACCTTGGAGTGGAGAGACTGGGGGAACGCTAACATGTGCAGCAGCTCAGAGTTGTCGATCTCCAGCAGTATTCCCGTGATATTCCCCGTCAGGTTTGAATGCATTGTTTGGATGAGCGGGAACAAGCGTTCTCTCAGCATCCGCTTCTGTTCCTGGGGGTGTGCTGCGGCCAGCGTGGAGGCAGTCAGTGGCTCCTGTCCCCGCACTTGGACCTCAGGCTGGGGTGCCTGCAGAGGCTGTATGGCAGGATGAGGGCTGCGAACACTGGAGGCGTGTTTGTAGAGGGAAACAGCCCCAGCCCGGGGAGCAGCAGAGGCAACAGCCGCGCGCAGAGCTAAGTTCTGCACAGCTGTGGGAAGGCCTCCAGACTGGCAGCTGCTGGCATATTTCTATTCAAATAAGCAATAACTCTGTGTTTCCCCCATTTTAAATGGTTTTAAAGCATATTTTAGTTTACAGATGCCTTGGAAATTCTGATAAAAGCTATGAGTCCCCTCTCCATATATGTTCATGCATAAATAAACACAATCACAGGCACACCATTTTGTTAAATGTTTCTGGAGATAGACTGGGTCACTAACATTCTTTCCTTAGTTCATGTCTTCAATAGGTAAAACTTAAATCAAATTGGCAAAATTAGAAATTTTACAAGGAAGTGTGAGGAATGCTCTTCTGTTGGGAAAAAAAAATAGTATTCAAGAATCATCTGTCAGGAATGCTGCTAATATTGCGCTTTCTATCTCTCTAGGTGACAATGTGATAAGCATAATAGAGAAGAGATTGAATATGTTATCTCAAGTTGTTCAATTAGAAATTAGAGTTCATCAAGAAATATCCTAAAGACTTACTAAATATTCCCTAGATATGACATGGCACATATGTAGAAAGTTAATTATTACTTATTTGCTGAAATTTAGCGTTTCGTTTCCAAGCATTACTTTGGGATCAATTTTAGGGTTTGGGTTTTGTCAATAGAACAAAGTCAGTTCTGTTACATTAATTTTCTAAATCTTTATAAACCCATGGTCACTTTTGCTAAGCATACAAATATTAAGCTCTCATTTAATGTAATTTGAAATTTCAACTAAGTATTTGAATAGATTGACAATTTTGAAAACATTTTCCAATTAATTTTCTCCTGAGGATTCCAATATGCCTCTCTGCATGCTCATTCCCCCCATATATTGCCCTTGTTAACTCCAGAGTTTGCACATACCTACCTAATGTTTTTATATCTCTGACCCGGAGGGAAGCAAAAATAAATAAAGAATTAGAGTAATCATTCAAATTATTCTAACCAAACTTTCTCTTTGGTTATTGTGGTACTTAACATCTTCACCCAGTAGATCTCCTCCTCCTCTCTGATAACCTAACCTGGCCCTTGACCCCAGGGGTGCCATGTGACCCAAGTTGAAAGATTCATAATCTATAAACAGGCTTCAAGGTATTGGTCCAGGGGTAGGCATAATAATCCAAGAAGGGACAATAAGAATCACTCCTCTGGCTTTTTAACTGGAACATGTGTATGTGTTGGAGTTGGAGCTATTATGTACACATGCATGTTTAGAGGATGGTGAATATCTCTTTCTTCTATGGATATAGAGTTTCAGGAATATAGGCCCAGAATATATTTACCTGTCACAAAGACAGAAAGAATAAGCCTGCCATACAGAGAAAAGCAGAGATGATAGACAGCAGAGTATCCTGAGAGTGCCAATTTCAATATGCCAGAGATGCCCTGAGGCTTACAATTCTTCCTTCAATTCTGTGAAGTACTCTAATATCTTGTGTGTGTGTGTGTATATATATGTGTGTGTATGTGTGTGGGTGTGTGTGTGTGTTTGTGTGTGTATTTGCTTAAGATGGATTGAATTGAGTCCCAACCATTTGCAATTGTTATGGCCAATACAATTGCTAAGAATCCCAGGCTATTATAATACAGTTATGTGTCACTTAGCAATGGAAGTATGTTCTGAGAAATGTGTTATTAGGCAACTTCCTCACCATATGAACATCATAGAGTGTTCTTACACATACCTTGAGAGTATAGCCTACTACACATCTAGGCTATATGTATAGCCTACAACACATCTAGGCTATACGTATAGCCTATTGTTCCTAGGCTACAAAATTGTACAGAATGTTACTGTATTGAACACCACAGGCAATTATAACACAATGGTAAGTATTTGTGTATCTAAATATAGAAAAGGTACGTAAAAATATGGCATGAAAGATTTAAAAAAGTGGTACTCCTATATAGGCCAGCTCCATTATAATCTTATGGGACCACCATCGTATATGCAATCCGTCATTAACTAAAATGTCATCATGTGGTGCATGACTGTGTGTGTGAGTGTGCGGATGACTGCATCTATTATGCTTTGCTTTATTAGTGATATATTTGGACTTCTTTTTTCTCATACTAGTTTTTAAAAAAGTATTATTTAGCTAATATGTTATATAAAAAACCTGTGAGATAATAGTTAGAACTTTAGAGAAATATGTGTGATTACACTATTTCCTAATGTAAATATACAACTTGACATATATTTTTCTTAAAATAGTATTCAAATGATTAGTATCATATAATCCTGTTTACAATTTAATTTTCATTTGCTAGAACTTCAAGCTAATATTATATAAAATTAACAACACCAAGCTTAAGATTGGCTTTTTAATTTTAAAACAAAAATTATGTAAACAAAATGTATAAAGAAAATTATGTGAAGAGGACAATGGGAAAAACTGCTGTAAATAGATTTTCTTATAATTAACTTGAAAAGTAAAATATAGTATGAAAGTTTGACTTGGTGATAGTGAATATAATTATGCTCTATATTTAGTTATTCTTTAAAATAGGAAATGATTACATTCATCTCAACTTAGGGTAATGAGCAAACATAATTTTAATATAGTGCCTTTCACATAGAAGTCAAGAAGCTTGATATGATGATAATGACAATTATATTTTTAATTTGAATCTATGAGGCATAAGTTATCTCAATTAAAGCAAATTGGAAATGAAGAACTATAATCAATAGAAACATAGTAACTTAATGTCATCATTTTTTTTTTTTTTTTTTTCCAATACATAGTAGCCATTTTGTCTTTCAACCTAGCAACTCTTCCTCTCAGGCATAAAATCTCAAATTTCCTTCAGGAAAATATCCTCCATTCAAACTCAGACCACAAGGTTCAGGAGGGTCTCTGTCACAAGCTAAATCTCTGCATTTGAGATTTAGCCTGGCCAAGCAAAGCCCTGAACTGCCTTAGACACAGGGATTGGTTGAATGATGAGCATTTGGCCAACTATATTGAAGCAGAATTCTGGGGCTTGTGAGGAGCCACTAGGACGAAATGGTCACTGTTTTGCTAGACTTGAAGCTATGATCATGTATGTAAGCCAGGAACAATTGACAAACATTTTGAAACTATAAGAAGTCTTAGAATGTAACCTGTATAGAGGAAATTGATACTGAGCAATGGAAAAAGACTCAGTCCTAAAGACTTAAGTTGAGATCCTTGAATCAAGTGGCATGTCAAGTGATTTCTGAGGAAGAAATTTCTTTTACTTATCTAACTTGGGTGCATTTTTTTGGTCAAAAATGGAAGACTGTACTTATAAACTAGGCCTGGAGTTGATTTTTTTAATGTTTTATAGATGTTTATCTAATTCATAGTACTGGTTAAGTGAGGCATAATCCTATATAATTTTACTGTCAATATTCCACACTGTAAACTAAGTTGAGACTTCAGTAAATTCTCAAAGATAATCAGTATGGATGCACAGTCATCTCGTGCATTCTCAGCACTTTATTGATATTCTTTTTTAAGGATGAAAGCATGATGCTTGCTGTTAAGAAAGTTATAGTATATTTTGGAAGAAAATAAAGATACATTAAGCAAGAGCAAGTAAAATGCTCTCTGTGTCTTACAGTGCTCCTTATGTCTTATATATATATTTTTTTTTTTTTTTTTTTGAGAGGGAGTCTGGCTCTGTCGCCCAGGCTGGAGTGCAGTGGCCGGATCTCAGCTCACTGCAAGCTCCGCCTCCCGGGTTTACGCCATTCTCTTGCCTCAGCCTCCCGAGTAGCTGGGACTACAGGCGCCCGCCACCTCGCCCGGCTAGTTTTTTTTTTTTGTATTTTTTAGTAGAGATGGGGTTTCACCGTGTTAGCCAGGATGGTCTTGATCTCCTGACCTCGTGATCCGCCCGTCTCGGCCTCCCAAAGTGCTGGGATTACAGGCTTGAGCCACCGCGCCCGGCCTATGTCTTATAATTAAGTGCTCTGAGTAAACACATCCCCTCAGGGTCTGTGTACCTTACCACACAAATTACATGTTTCATCCACTAGGGGGCTGAATAGCAGGCAACTCTTTGGTTAGAGTAGCGTTGTAAATTTAGAATTTAGTGATTAGACAAAGGGCAAAACCTAGGGAGATTATTAGCAAGGAGAGGAAGATTATTTGCTAGCAGAGGATGAAAATACTTGAGCTTGATTTCTATGTTAATGGATGATAAGATAGGAGCTTGCAGGAGGATCAGGGGACATTTGATGAGGAGCAAATAGCAAATAGTCCCAAAGCATTTTGCACATAGCTATTCTACATATTATAAAGATGAAATTTTGGTTTCTGGTGTGTTTACATAATTTTCCCTATTTCAAATACAAGTGTAGATTATCTTTCTGAGCCTATTATAATTTTGTTCAAAAATTAGAATGTGTGGAATTCGGTGTGTTAGAAGAATTAAATGTCAAGGTTCCATCTTAAATCTTATTGCAAAAATCAATAGCTGAAAATCATTGACCAAACCTTGGTAAGTAGGAGTTCATCATGTCAAGAAATGGGAAAGAGCATTATAGGCTTATGAAATAGCATGAGGCAAAAAAAAGGGGGGGGGCGGGGCAGACTTATGAAAATAAAGAGACACATGGGTCTATATTTTAGAAATGATAAAAGGACTTATTAAGAAATAAGTCTGGAAAGCTAAGTAGTGATAGCTAATGAGGCATTTTTATACCATGCTCTTGATATTGATCTTTTTATTTTACAAAACAAAAACGTCATTGAATATTTGGAAGGATGGTGGTAATTTGATAAGAATCTAGGTAGAACACAAAAGTTAAATAATCATGGGGAAAATTTGAGTGAAAGGCTAGATATGGAATATTTATGGGATATAAAGAACTAGGGGATTAGAAAAAGACCTATTTGAATTAGAACAGGGACCACAGGTGGAGTGTGGTAATGTCCATGGAGATGGTAGAGCCCTGTTGATTGATTTGTGACATTTTTATTGTTTTTATTTTCTATCTTTATGAAAAATAATTGTAACCAATGCTACTTTCTCTTAGTGTACAAGTCAAAGTCCTTTATCTGATCACCAGGTTTCTAAAATTGGTCCCTAATTCCCTCTAAGATCTCATCTGCTGCTTTCTCCCTTTTTTCTCTGTTTGAACCCTGCTGAACAACACCTTGCCCTTTCTTGAACATGCCAGATGTACTCCTGACTTAGAGCTTTTGCACTTACTGTTTTCTTTGCTCAGGATATTCCTTCTTCAGAAATCTTCATGGCTTGTTTCTTCACCTCCTTTATCTTTATATGCAAACATCACCGAATTTACATTTTCTGTTCTATCTAAAATTGCAACCTCTTTATCCCCCTTCCTTGCGCTGTTATTTTCTTAGCACTTATTATCTAACATATGTAATGATTTACCTTTTTTGTTTGTTTTCTCCACTAGAAAATTATGTGTTCTAAACGTTTTACTATTTTGTTTACTGCCATAAACTTAGCATTTAGAACATCTCTACAATTATAAGTATTCAAATATATTTGTCAAATGCATGAAGTAATATGTTTTATGGTTTATATAGCTGTTTATGTGCTTTTAATATTTTTATTCATTTGTCATATATACCACCCTACCACTACCACTTGTGAATTTGTCCAAATTTGTGTGCAGAAAACCTCTGAACACAATATACAACTCCCCCATGCCCACCAGGCCCTGTTCCTAAAAAACACACGCACAAACACACAAATGTACTTTCCTTCTCCCTTCCTGTCTAGGAGAAAATATATGAGAAAAATATTTTCTATTTTGACTTAATAACCTTGTGGATGAAAGCTATATTACATAATGTTTTTTACCTAATTTTATCTATTAGGTGAAATTCATTCATATATATTAAGCTAATCTATGTAGCTTATTATGTCAAGTTCCACACCATGACAGGCACCTAATATTTATCTGAGCTTCTCTCTCTCCCTCTCTCTTTTTTTTTTTTTCTTTTTTGAGACAGAGTTTCACTCTTGTCATCCAGGCTGGAGTGCAATGACACAATCTCGGCTCACTGCAACCTCTGCCTCCTGAGTTCAAGTGATTCTCCT